CTCCTTGCTTAGCCCATCGCTTCCTTGTACCACAATCCACCCCCACTGTCCCCAGATCTAAGAGAGGGAGATTCAAACAGATCCGAGAGGAAGAAAGAGCGAGAGATGAAAAGGCAAGGGAGGGACGCTGGGGAGGGGGATGGTGCCCGCGTCAGAGTCACCATGCCTAGTTGCTCCTGCCGTCCCTTAGGATAGAGAGAGGAAGAGAGAGGGAGGTGCGAAGAAGAAAGAGGGATGGAGAGAGAGAGAGAGAGGAAAAAGAACACACAGGGGAGAGTGGGTGCATGGATCTACCCCCACCCACCCTCTGAAAAGGTCCTAGTGGCTAGAGGGGGGTGAATAGCCTAATAAAAATTTCTACAACAACACTTAGCAAATCGGTTAGACAATTATGAGGCGAAGCAAGTGTTACGCTAGCCTACCAAAAATACAAGCCACCTACCATAATTCTAGTTTCTATTGTCTTTAACCACACAATGACTATGGCACTACACTAAGTTAGTGTGCTCTTAAAAGCTAACTAAAGAGCCACACTAACAAAACTAACAAGATCTCACAACTAGCTACACTAAAGAGCTTGAAAACTAGTTTACGGTAATGTAAAGAGATTGAGCAAGATGATTATACCGCCGAGTCAAGGAGTGAACCAATCAATCACAAGAATGAATACCAATGAAGACCAATCACCTCGGAATCAAATGATGAACACAATGATTTTTTACCGAGATTCACTTGCTTGCCGGCAAGCTACTCCTCGTTGTGGCGATTCACTCACTTGGAGGTTCACGCGCTAATTGACATCACACGCCAAACCCTCAATAGGGTGTCGCACAACCAACACAAGATAAGGATCACACAAGTCACGAGCAATCCACTAGAGTACCTTTTGGCTCTCCGCCGGGGAAAGGTCAAGAACCCCTCACAATCACCACGATCGGAGCCGGAGACAATCACCGCTCCTCCGCTCGACGATCCTCGCTGCTCCAAGCCGTCTAGGTGGCAGCAACCACCAAGAGTAACAAGCGAATCCCGCAGCGAAACACGAACACCAAGTGCCTCTAGATGCAAACACTCAAGCAATGCACTTGGATTCTCTCTCAATCTCATAAAGATGTTGAATCTATGATGAAGATGAGTGGGAGGGCTTTGGCTAAGCTCACAAGGTTAATATGTCAATGCAAATGGCCAAGAGAGTGAGCTTGAGCCGGCCATGGGGCTTAAATAGAAGCCCCATGAAATAAAGTCGTTGTACCCCTTCACTGAGCACAACGTGGGGTGACCGGACGCTCCGATCAAATTGATCGAGACGCTGGACCTCAGCGTCCGGTCACGCGATGCACGCCACGTGTCCCCTCTCTTTAAAAACTGAGCACCCGATCCCAACAGTCAAGTGATGACCGGACGTGCTACTGCGAAGTGACCGGATGCTGGACCTCAGCGTCCGGTCGTTTTCAGTAAGCATCCAGAAACGAAAAATCATGACCGGACGCGTCCGGTCATGCTTGACCGGACACACCCAGCGTCCGGTCACACGGCGACTCCCATGTGCGCCGCCACGTCAGCAGGACCGGACGCACCCCTCCAGCGTCCAGTCACTAAGTGACCCAGCGTCCGGTCAGAGACCGATGCCGGCGTCCTTGCAACTTCTACTGACCGGACGCGCCGGTGCAACTGAGGCCAGCGTCCGGTCACCTACAGTGACCTCCGTCTTTTCTGTATAGGGCGTCGGTGGCACCGTCGGACTGTCCGCACTCTACGGACGGATACTCCACCGGTGAAGTATCTTACCCTTGCTCAAATGTGTCAATCACCAAGTGTATCACCTTGTGCACATATGTTAGCATATTCTCACAAACATTTTCAAAGGTGTTAGCACTTCTACTAGATCCTAAATGCATATGTAATGAGTTAGAGCATCTAGTGACACTTTGATAACCGTATTTCTATACGAGTTTCACTCCTCTTAATAGTATGGCTATCGATCCTAAATGTGATCACACTCACTAAGTGTCTCGATCACCAAAACAAAATGGTTTCTATCATTTATATCTTTGCCTTGAGCCTTTTGTTTTTCTCTTTCTTCTTTTCAAGTCCAAGCACTTGATCATCACCATGGCATCGCCATCATCATGTCATGATCTTCATTTGCTTCACCACTTGGAATGTGCTACCTATCTCATGATCACTTGATAAACTAGGTTAGCACTTAGGGTTTTATCAATTCACCAAAATCAAACTAGAACTTTCACCCTCACAGGAGCCAATCAAGGGTTGACACACAGGCGAGTGGGCCTTGCCTGTCAGCCACCCTAAGAAGCACAACGTTAGGGCCACCGTTAGCCATTTTCATAGGCAATTGATATAATGAACCATCAGTGAAAATGATTTTCACCACCGATTGGTTGAACCATTAGTTAAAATCATTTTTACCGCCATTTAGTCATACTACAAGCTAGCGATGAAATTCATCACAAACAGTTTTGTTCAAACTGACAGTGAGAATACCGATGACAAAAACATATCTATAGTAGTATTTAGAGCTTAAAATATCCAACTCTTCTTGAAGTTGATCTATACCAAACAGGGCCATCATATACATTTTGCTCAACACAAATGCTAGCTAGACCAAGCTTAAGTATAGCTACTTTTCAGCACTGCCATTACATATGGTACAATTATGAAGTTAATCATAAAGAAAAATAAAATTACTCAGCATTGCCATTACATATGGTACAATTATCCTAGAAATATGCGTATACTTATATTTGTAAATTTCCCACTATACACATTATGAAAAAAGATTCACCCAAAATGCTACATATGTGTCCTTCGTTTCATAATACTTGTCATTTTAGCATTGACAAAGGAGTCAAGGAGGTTAATAAAATGACCTTCTTACACTTATAGTTAATCATCTCTAAAGTGTGTGCATTCATGGTATCAAAAGTACAAGCTCACTCTAAATTACGGATTTATTAAGTAAGGTTAGGTTTAAAAAAATATAAGTCAAATGAAAGTTGTCTTGAAGTTCTAGGACAACAAGTAATTTGAAAAATATATATAGTAGAAGAATCTAAAACAACAAGCACTATGAAACAAGAGAACAATTATTTATAAATCATCCATTATTGCCATTATGAATGAACCCAAAATACACATGTACCTATTTGTAAATCATCCACCACTGTCATTAAAAAGCTAACAAAAAATACCCCTATACGTGTTTCTATATTATTCGCCTCTACCACTATTTTAAAGTGAAGCCAAGTAAAAAATCAAAGGAGTACACAATCTATTATATTAATGCAATAACGTTAAAGGAATCGCCATGTGTACAAGATGATTCAAATTTTGGATTTTTAAGATGGAAAAAACAATTGGAAATTTGGTGAGAGACTTAGACGACAGTGATTTTATCGAGTTCACCAAAGAACTTAAGGCTATTTGGATCTGGCCTCCATAGAAATTGCACAGCCAAGCGATAGGAGTGGAATAAAAAGGAAGTTTATATTAAAGGTCTTTTGAGCCAAGGAATTTGTCGACAATAGCTATATAGAGTTTGTATAGATGGATATAGTTGGGGAGCATCGAGAGAGAATGATTACAGTCAAATAATAAATAAATAAAACCTTTTTCAGTAAAAAAACTCAATAGTTACATAGGATTAAAAAAAACTATCTACGCTAGCTATTTGCATGGATCACCTTGCTACACGTACTATGTCAGATTTTCACATTAGAGACACAGTCATTAGTGACGCCAAAAAAACGCGTCGCTTATATTGTGTTTCTGATGTGAACACATTAGTGACGTGTAAAACTGTGTCACTAATGACCATGTATCAGAGACGCGTATGGGAAAAACGCGTCACATTAGTGAACACATTAGGTAGCTTAATGACGATATATAGAAATTCATTGCACATATGCCACCTATGCATAGAACACAGCAATCTTGCTCGCTTAAACGCGGCAAGTGATAGTTAAGGTGGATAGCGATGTGTGCTCTGGAACTTATTTGTTGCACGTGATGGATGGAACAGTAGTTGAATTGGCTACGCAAGCCAGCCTAGCTAGCTTATTAGGGTCGCATATTCACACGCCCAAGAATACGACTGATTTGTACTGCATGCGATTGCCGATTCTCGATTGTGCGTCAGTCGTTGGGGGCAGCTAGCTAGCACGCCATGAGTGGCAACCGAGCTAGTGCGAGTCCCTGTCAATTTTGCTTTGTTTTTTATTAGCCTAGCTAACCCCATGGCGTCAACTGATGACCCATCTTTGCGGCTCACCATACACAACAATTCAGTGTGCTCCACTCGACCCATGCATGCAGTGCATCTACTATATATATATATATATATATATATATATATATATATATATATATATATATATATAATCAATATATATATATATATGCAAATATTCAAATGGAATTAATTTATCTTTTTTCTTAAAAAGAATAACTTGAAGGCTTCAGCAATCTGAAATTAAAGCGTCATATATATATATATGCAGATATCATATCAGTAAGTAATAATAGCTGTATATGTTACATATGTATAAGCTGGTGAGAACAAATTATTACATAGCTAGCTAGCTAGCTAGCTACTACCTGCAGCTGAGACTGGTGCACTTACTACTACTATATATGCATCATGCTGTAATGTTCTACCTCAATCTAAAGAATGCAGAAGTCCATCAGAGAGAACTAAAAACAAAACGTACACTGACTGAATGATGATGAGCTCCCACTCCCAGTAAGTCGAGTAAGTGAAACAGTCTGTAATATGTGTGTAACTACACAGAACAATGAAGTATGTATGTACCAACACACATCTGAATCTGAATTATTAGCATATATAATATATATGTGCAACTAATATAATGCCGATCGATGAATGAATAATGTTCTCCATTGGATCAACAGTGTGCACGTGGATGCATGCTGCAGCAGCAGATCAATTGGAGGAAAGATGGATCGATCGACGATGGAGGTCACTGCAACAAGGATCCCGAGGGCTCATGGAGTTGCGACGTCGCGGACAGCAGGCTGTCCAGAAAGTTCCAGTCGATGGCGCCGGCAGCGGCTGCAGCTTGCTCTCCTCCTCCCTGCTGCATCATGAGCTCATGTTCATCGTAGCTGCTTCTCTGCGCAGCTGCAGCGTAGCCGCCGCCGTCGGAACAGTAGGCTATGGCAGTGGGGCTCTCCAGCGGCGGGATACTGAACATATGCTTCTTGGACTCGAAGTCATCGTCGGAGTATAACGAAGGCGGGAAGCTGCTGCCTACAGCGCCTGCTGCAGGGAGTTGTAGCAGTGGTGATGATGAGCCCAGGAAATGGCCGTCGACGTGCAGCCGTGCGGTCGTTGAGAGGTGGTGGTCGTAGTAACCGGCGGTGGCGGCATAGCTGGTAGGGAAGAAGGGCCTCTGGTTGGGGATAGGCTTCTGGAAAGCGCGGCACACCACCCAGCCTTCCTCCTGATAGATCGATGAGATGAGCAATGTCCGATCCATTGCATTGCACGCACAACAAGAGTGTCAGAGATCGATGTCCATTGTTGTATGTAAAAGTGTCAATTAAAAAGTTGTTGTTTTTCTAGTCAACCGAACGATCAAAAAGTGCTGCACAACTACTGACACCAGCTATCTAGCTATCTGATGGAATAACTTTAGGAGGGGAGGATACGCAAAGTGAAAGAGAGCTGTAGTTAGTTGAGCTTTGATGATACAATTATCTTATATTTATTGCTTATAGGTAGGAAAGAAAAAAAAACATGATTAAAAAGAGAGTTAATTAATTAACTAAACTCTTGCTTGCCTGCGCGGGTGCGTGCTCGTTGGACTGGAGTCGGTACTCGTGCATGATCCAGTCGCTCTTCCTGCCGTTGGGGGCCCTGCCCTTGTAGAACACCAGCGTCTTCCTCATGCCGATGACCCTGCTGGTGCCGCACCTGGTCCTGGTGGACGACGACAGCACCGGCTTGTCCCTGCCGGTGGCCTTCCAGAAACCAGCCGCCGTGGCGCGGTTCGTCCTCGTCCCGCTGGGGTACTTGCGGTCCTTGTAGCTGAAGAAGTACCACTCTGTCGTCTGCTCGTCGTGCCCACCACCGGCGTGCTGCCTGCACCTCTCTGCATATATACATACATGCGGATCGATGATACATGATGACGAAGAATATAATTTGTATACGTAGCTAGCATAAACGAACTGACGATATATAGATAGATATGAGCTGAACAACAACATGCTTGTACTCCTTCCTACCTTGCAGATCCCATGGCTCTATCCTGTAGAGATCGACCACCTGGATGATGTCGAGGTCGATCTTCTGGGAGGCCACCTTCCTGGCAAGGTAGTACCCAATCAGCTCTTCCTCTGTAGGGTGGAACCTGAAGCCTGGGGGAAGACAAGACTCCTCCTGCTGATCCATGCGGGCGGCTAATTAATTATGTTCTTCAGCTGCTTAATTAATTCCGCGTGCCTCCGTTCCTCTCTCTCCTCTCCTCTGAAAAATTAGCCTGCAGCGTGCCTTTTATTGAGTGAGTATGGAATACATGGAGTAGTCAGGGAGGAAGAAGAAGAAGAACTAGAACTAGCTAGCTGTAGATGCGTGTGGCGGCGTGGCCAGGGCAATGCAAAAGAAAAGGCAGATGGATGGACAGGTAAGGCGGCGGTACCCTAGCCGGCCGGCGCGGCCTAGCTTCCCAATGCAAGCAGGCAGCAGCAGGTTCGCCTGCTCGCAGATATGAGAGACAAAGCAAACAAAGCTCTGGTTCCTCGCTCGATCTCTAGCAGGTCTTTGGTAGCCTAAGCAATGGACTGTACGCCGCCGCAGGTTCTCCAGTCTTTGGCCTGCCGGAACTGTACGCCGCCGCAGATAGATAGATAGAGCGATGGACGACGGCCCAGCTTGGAGCTCCAAGCTGCTGGCGGTGGTTTATATTATTTGAGACACAGCAGAGATTGATCGAGATGAGACGACGGCCGGGCAGGGGCAGCCTCGTCGATCGATCGCTGACCTAGCTTTCTTGCTGCTGGTTGTTGGATTGGATTGGATGGAAGCTAGAGTGTAGCTTGCTGCGGATCGAGATGGATGACCACCAGTACGTACGTGTGCGGTGGAGAAGAAGATGATGCGGGCGGCCACAGCAAATTAATTAAGTTGTAGCTAGGGAACACAATGCAAGGCGGCAGCTTATTACCTCCTGGGGCCCTATTTATATATTCCAAAAGGGGGCTCATGTTGGGAGCACACATCACATCCATCCTAGCTTGGTCATAAAACTTTTTTGTCATGTAATGCAATCTACTGTTCTAGCTAGCTAGCTATTAGCCACTCCTCGTAGAAATTATATTTAGTATGATAAGGATCGTATAAACCATTTCTACACACCGCTGATGTAAGCCATTCTATATATCGTCGCGTTACTGATGAACCGTCTATATATTATATAATCTAACACCCGTGGAAATCGCCACTTTCGACTGGAGGGTCGAAACTAATGCATGTGGAAAAGATTCCTTTTCCTATTGGTGAAAACTTTTAGCTTCGTCAAGTAAATTGTTTCTAATAGATTTATTATGAAAATGTTCTATTATGTATACACCCTCTCGTTTGCAATGCTAATACCTGCTTTTATTTTACAAACATGGTTTCCTCCAAACACATACTCCATTCCATATTATAAGATGATTTCGCTTTTTTTTTTACATATGTAGCGTTTTGTTTATGCACTTAGATACACGCTATATCTAGATACATCATAAAAGCAATGTATCTAAAAAGTCAAAATATCTTATAATTTGAATGGAGAGAGTAGCTTTCATCATTGTTTTCTATCATACGGCAGTACAAATGAACCATATTCCTAGCAAACTTATGCGTCTTTTTAGAAAAGCTGTACATGTTAAGAAAAAATCCATGAAGATGATCTCTTCAAGTTTCTTAACTAGCTTAAAGTTATTTGCAATTCAATTTTTAAAAGCTTGTCTCAAATTTTGTCCAAAGCGCCAAGTATTTGCAAACCGGAGGCAGAAACTCTTTTTCTCGAATACGCAAAATGTTTGCGCATCATTGTATTAAGATTGAAAAGTAGATTTTTTACATCGACGCGCCACTAGTCGGGCGCACTATGGAGGCCGGAACTCTTAAAGCTAAGCTAAATATGATAGTACTCCCTCAATTTCAAGTTATAAGACGTTTTGGCTTTTCTTAATATGTAGATTTTACTATGCACTTTGATATACATTATATGATACAAAGAAAAAGCAAACGAATGGAGTATATGTTTATAGATCCATCATCAGTTGTCATACATATTGGAGACCATACCGATGTCGTAGCTAGATTTGTATATCTTTTTTAATGAAAAGCTAGATTTGTATTTGTAGTGATGAGGATATATAGAGGAGAAAGTGGGTATGCACGCGTGGGGTGGCTAGAGAGAGAGAGAGAGAGATTAGCTAGAGAAAAGAAGAGAGCGAGGGCGATGGTCGTTTGGTCGGCTAAGAAGAACGAGAAAAGTCTCTGAAGCGACCACCACCACCACCGTACCTCCACTACACACCACAGCCCACAGCCACAAGCATTGGGCGTGGTGGGTCCGTCGTCGTCTCTGTGATCGCCGAAGGATCCGATCGAGTTGCCATCACCTTTTAGTTTGCTTTTTTTTCATTTTACAGCAGACGTACGTTAAGAGAAGCGTGCGTTATTAGCTAGCTTAATTATTGGAACATGGAAGCTAGCCCTCAAGATCTAGGGGCTATCGGTCATCCGATCCGACGCATTTAATTTGTGCACCCAACAATACTAGTATTATATATATACTCCCTTGTCTTTAAAAAAAAAACTTGATGTTTTAAAGTTTCTAGAACAAACTGGTGATCAACACCATGTATCCCTCTTTCTCATTGGTGAACCATGCATGCTAGCTAAGAAATAAGCACCTCATTAAAAGGAATGCATACAGACATGCGATTTTAAGCTGAAATGGACCCAGTCTATTGTTCAAGAGCTAAAATATCAAGTTTTCTAGAACATTTTTTGAATAGGACATTAAGTTTTTTAGACGGAGGGAGTATATATTTCCATTCTATACCTGCCGTCTTCCTTAATTTGCCATGAAACAATATATTTTTTAGGGTAATTTTGCTGTGGAACATCGGACAAACGTGGTATTTGCCGGTGGACACGGCCAGCTCGAAAATATGCCCAGTACTATCATGAAATCGCGTTTCTTTGCCACCAGACACCGCATCAATTAAAATATTAATTTTCACAGTTTGGGATTGAGAAAGGGCAGTGAAAAGACCATATTGCCCCTATGGTCATCTTCCTCCTCAGACTCCACCCCATGAGGTCCGTCCATGTCCTCCAATCGCCGGCGGGCAGGAATCGCTCTGGCCAACTCCAGCACCACCTGGTCCGCCGAGTTAGCCACCACCACATCCGAATCTTCCGCCACCGCTGCATCTGACGGCTGTGCCCGTGCCTTCGCTGCCCCAACAGCGCAGTCCGAGGCGGACCTCGCGCAACTCCAGTGCCTCCTGGCCGACATCGATGCCCAGGCCGCAACACCGGGCGCTAGCCTCCATCTGCCCCGTGCCCAGCAAGCGCTCCGTCCACCGGCGCCTACCTAGGCCACGTGCCCGCGCCCACCATGGCCAACTCCGGCGAGGCCGCGGGGCCGCCCGCAACTGCCTAGGCCGCGACGCAAGCGCGACCTCCGTCGGCCCCGCGCCCAGCCCATGCTCCGTCAGCCCGCGCTTGCCCAAGCCACGAGCCCGGTCCCGACACCGACCACGCCCACCATGGCCAGCTCCGGTGAGGCCACCCACACCTGCCCAGGCCGCGACGCCGGCTGTTCCACGCCCAACCTGCGCTCCGTCCGCCCGCCCGCCTAGGAAGTGAGCCCGGGGAGCTCGCGCCGCCGCCCGCACGAGGCCGGGGAGGCCTCGTCGCCACCCGCGCAAGGATGGAGAGGCCCGCACCGCCGCTCGTGTGAGGATGGAGAGGGTCGCGTCGGTCGCAAACGTTGTTCGTCGAAGAAGGACGACCAAATCGGCGGCGGCGGTGTGTTATAGCAAATAGCCGATGAACAACTAGAGGTTGAAGACGAGGACAGTTTAGACATTTGCCCTACCTTCTCTCTACTCAAAACTGAAAAATGAATAAAATAATCAGCGCGGTGTCTTTCGGCAAAGAATTACAAATTTGTAATGTCCGCCAGCAAATTTCGACATTGACGGTGTTCACTGGCCAATTTCCTGTTTCTCTGGTGTCCCACGGCAAAATTACCCTATTTTTTATTAAGATAACAGAAAAATCCGGCATCAGCTTCTTTTTGAGTCAGAAGTACTATCAGTCCACACTTGCATTGTTATAAACACATGCACCAAGAAATAAATTCATTATAGGTTCAAAATTAAAATTCAACACCATATATAACTGAAAGACCATCCATTAAACGCAAAGAACTACTACATGACATGTATATATGTTTGTTCACCTGCTGCACACATACACATGAGTAGTAAATTGTAGTATCGTAGTACATTTTTTCTCTGGTAGCAATATTCCCTCAAAGCTGCTGTGCTATCCTGAATTCGCAAATATAATCCCAATTAGCGCCTCACCCTTTCGACTGGAAGTCTTCAAATTGCAATAATTGTCGTTACGTTTTTCATAGAGAGTATTATTTTGATGTGATGGAACATCCGGGAGTAAACAAAATAATCTCATTCCCAGAAACAAACAACCAAAGTGTCGCAAGCTGCAAGTCTTTGCTCAAATTAAAGACATCTTGCCTTGGTGAAGCTGTTGGAGATCATTTAGTGAAGCTGTTGGAGGATAGTTTTTCACCAAAATCTCTATTCCTAGCATTTAGAAAGGATAGGGAGAGTCTCTTGGAGATACTCTTAGAGTATGTTAGGGAGTAACTAGTAGGAGGAACGACCCTCCTGTTTCATATCATAAAAAATATATATATATACAATATAATCCATTCAATTTGTAGGATGCAATTAACAATCTGGTGTTGCTTGCAGCCTACGGCTACGGGGATAGATGCATGACATGAAGTTGGATAAAGTGCATATATCAGATCCGTTCCAAAATTTAATACTCCGGTGTGGAGTAGTACGTACAAGAAAGACACCGGACATTTTAGGGCAGCGAGGTGCCATTTATTATTATCACTACTTTCAATATCGTGTACCAGTACGTGGGAGTACAATTCATGCGCTCTGTCTGCTAAATTTTTGCAAATTGGATTTGCTTTCGAGGACCACGGGCGCGCGTACTGTGCAACGCGTCAAAAAAGCCCGTCCTCCACACAGTCGTACCAATTGTTATAAACTAGGTAACGCTGCTACAGAACAGACAACCTTTATAAGATAATTTAAACCCGATGGTGATAGAGGTATCACTGC